TGAAGGACTTTCTAAGGGAAACGAAAATATACTGGGCTCAGTAACTTTGAAAGAAATACTGTGATCGGCAAGAAGGTTGAGTTCGAACTGATGTCGAAGACGGAGTCCTACCCGCGGTCGCAAGTATTTTTGAGATAAGACATTTAATCGCATAAGCATTGCAAAGACAACCTTTATTTGAGATAAGACATCCTTATAGCTATTCTGACACCTCGTAATATGATCTACAAAAGGCCAAGTAGATCTCTCAAGTGATATTCCTTAGGTCAAACACAAATAAACACATCGATTCGAATGGTGCCTCTCAGAGGCACAGCTCGAGTTATCGCATCACATGCAGTGGTGCCTGAGAAGCACCGCTCGAATGCAAAGGGTTAAAACTGTAAGGATTCTATTCGGTTAGATGTTTTGTGAAGAGATAACTGAGCTCCAAATCGAGCATCTCTGATGTCAGAACACTTGAAAGCAGAATATATCACTTGAATGGATTTGCCAACTTACTCACCAAAACTGACCCTGATTAAGTATGTGTGGCGTATCTAAGGACAGTATCCCCATTCAAAACATTTCACAACTGCAATTTTTCTGCTTTGTCACACAAAACAATAACAACAGATCACTTTGAGGTTACTACATAAAGAAGAAAAACTGTTTTCCATAACAGACATAATGACTGCCATCAAAGAGAAAGATTTGTTGCAAAACAGAAGAAATAATTTTCCATTATTTTAAAATTTCTAAGAATTTGACTCTAAATTCAATATTGTGAGATAAATTAACCTGCAAACATGGCAATTTACACAAAATCATGCTTTTATGCAAACTGTGTTCAATAAGTAATACAGTACAAAGTCCGTAATCTGGACATCCATTATCCGGAATGATCTATAATCCGGACCTCAAAGTCACAAACTTTTTTTTTTTCTTTTGTATGCTGAACGCATGCATGTAAAGAGTGCACATACATTACGTGCACGCATGCGCGCATTGAAAGAAATGTTTAATAAAGTAAACAAAATAAATATTAAGCTTTTTTTTTATATAATTTGATACCCTTTAGATCATAATTGCTCTTTATTTCATAAATTATGGTTCATATTTTTAATTGTAGAATTTCTGCATGCCATCTTACCAGATTTAAATTGATGATCTATAATCCAGAAAAGCAACTAATCCGGAAGTCCCGACAAGTCCGCATTATGGACTTTGTACTGTAGTTAAGTTTTATTTCTGTCAGTATTCTTTAATCCAGATGATTATTAAAAGATAGCGTTAGATTATTGCTGGTGTATTGGTAGATGCTAGTAAAGACCCAAGCAATGAAATATCTCAATTTATATAGTTGGTAAACCTTACAATACAGAAAAACATCCACAATAATTTCTGAAAAAAATTGTTTCATAAGATTTATTTTTACTATCACTGCACAATACCAAATCAAAACTTCAACTACACCGTGTCATACAACTGTTAGTTTATTTTTACCAAAATGCAGATTTTAAAACTTCCGTCATCAATGTGATATAAATGTTGTAGTCAAAGCTCAAAGTTCACTTCATAAAAATATCCAGTCACTTTCTTTTCCAGCCAATATGAGCTGGTCAAAGCCTGGAATATACGAGACTTCAACAATATTTCATGTATCTGATTGGGAATTTATATGAATTAATTCCCAATCAGATACATGAAATTCCCAATCAGATACATGAATAATATTATATTTTTAAAAATTCATCAAAAGGATGAACGAGACATAATTTACTAGGACTAGCTCTCAATGACTAGTGACTACTTCAAGCTTTGTCTAGTCAATAACTAAAGACAAAAATGGCATATGTATATTTTTATGAGAAATCTCAAAATAATAATTGAAATTATTTTCAGTTTGTTATTTTAAATAAACAATTCCAATTCATAAACTAAATTAAATACCCTAGTTAACATGAAAGGAAGAATGAAAAAAAAAAAAAATACTTTCTTACCTTCTGATTTTATACATTTGTTTGAATTCATTTACATATGATACGAATCTTAAGTAATAATAGCAGAAGACATTCTATTATAAGGAAGCCTTTCTAATATGTTCATTCTAATTATAAAACAATAATCCATAATTTAACAAAATCATGTATTCTCCCAGCCATAACAGTAAGAACATTCATTCAACATCTTTTTGAAGAATTATATAAAATGTTCTTTTGTCAGATTTACAAAGTGCTAGTAAATTTACTTCACATTTTTTCTCTGGCTAGACAAAGCCCGAAATAACCAATCATGTCATAAAATGACTAGATTTTAGGCTTTGATCACAATAAATATTCATTCAATAATATTTGCCCTTACATGTTTAAGGACGTAAATAAATATCCATTTTGAAAGTTCAAAACAAATGAATCTACATACTGTGAAGAAAAATGTCCAGGTAACTAAATGGGCAAGGACAGTCTGAAATAATTCAAAACATTTCTCATGGACACTTAAAAAAATTTCAAGAATAAGCCCTCAGAAGTTTGCCGAGATAAATAAAAAAATAAGTTAAAATCATAAAAAATTTAGAATATAAAACTATATCATCATTTTGTATAGAGAACAGATATGATTCCATCCTTATTTGGGCTACACTATTAAAAATAACAAACTTCCACAAATTTAAAGAACATCAGTAAAAGCTCAACTATCAGAAATGCTTAAATACCAGATACGTGAAATTTCTGAGTAGTTGAATTGTATACAAAATGAAATCCCTGGTAGAAAAGCCATGCAAATGAAGACATTTATTTCTGATCTAAGACTTTTAAAAAAGTCATTTTATTTTTTATCAGTTTGAATATTAAAAGCTTATGTTTAAAATTATGTAAGATTTCAGAAAAAAAAATCGTACAAAAATTCAACATATTTAAAGATCTAATCAACCATATAATTAGATGTTATTGTGAATCGACCATGAAAATTAGCATAGATGCCACTGAATCTTGCACTAATCCTTCTGGAAAAAGCTAAGTAATTAATCAAAACAAATATAAGTTACTTTGCCATCACATTAAAAAGATAGGTTAAAGTTGACTTTAGGGTACCCCTTGTATTATCGCGATGTTGTTGTTTCATTTATCGCCAAGTTGTTGTCTCATTTATGACAACTTGAGTAGTTGAATGCTATGGAAACCCTATTATGACATAATTGGTTACGGTGAATTTGAATCATGGGAAAAAATTTGGAAAGTGTGTGTCGGATTTTGGGTAAGGGCTTTCGAGTGTTGGATAAGTACGCTGTTATTTTGTGGTTTACACAGTAAAGTGGCTGAATGTGGTAAGATTAATTTGAAGTTTCTGTAGGATTTAAAACGAAAGGGAAAAAAACATTAATTGACTGGTGTGTAAATGAAGGTTTACTCGGTAGCCATTATTAAGTGTGCTGTTTGGAGGAAGAAAATGTGTATGGTCGAACATAGGATATTTTTTACTCTTATTTTTGTGAATTTGTGTGGCAACACCAGTATACAGATTCTAGTTCAAATAATTTTAGGAAGTGTTTGGATGCTGTTAAGGAATTTTGTTCGACTGAAGGAGCGCAAATTCGTAAATAAGGTAAGTGGATATTTCCTTCATATAACGCTAAGATGAATTTCCTTTTTTATGTTATTTCATTGTTTGATTTAAAATGTAGTTTAATCAGATTAAATATTTTTTCTTGGCTACTCCTTTGACTTTTTAAGTGAATATAGTGGGAAGTGTACATGGACAAAGTCAAGGGAGTGCGCAAAGCCTAGTTTGTGCAATTCTCTGATTTTTTTTTAAGTGAAAATAGGTCAATGTGGACATGGATAAAGTCAAGGGAGAGCGCAATGCCATTTTTGTGCAATTCTGAGATTTTTAAAGTGAAAATAGGTCGACGTGCACATGGATACCGAGTTTGTGCAATTCTTTGTCTTGTTATTTTGGCTTTGTGTAGAGGCGATTTTTGGTGCAAATATTGCCGCTATGCAAGCCAAAATAACAAGTTAAGGAATTGCACAAACTCCATATCCATGTACTGCCAAAAATCGTTAAGTTTAACCAAGGGGTACCCTAAAATATATTTTTACCAAAAGGTATTTAAAAATTGTAATTATTAAATACCTTTTTAATCAATTCTTTTACCAATGCAACATTCAGCTTATGACCAATTGATTGGAATGCATGTAGGTGAAAGATATGAAAGCAAATTAATTTCTACAGAACCACTTGAATCAAGCACACTCCTTCTAAATTACACACTATGCAGTGCCCTTGTCTGTCTCCCTACCACTAGAATAACAACTCAACAGAATGTCTACAGCTGTCTGTTGTCTTAGAAATAAGCACCAATGCATTTTTCATAGGGATATCCTGAAGAAATGCATTTAAATTTGCCATCTTGGTGCACTTAATAGAAGTAGTGATTGCGATAGACAAACTTAACGCCTAATTGTAACCTTTGGATTCTCTCATATGTTCCCATGCCATAGTAACTCCACATTTTTCATGTGTATCCTATTCCAAGGATGAATTCTTGAAACAAGCGGATGGATGGAATCATGGAGGAAGGGAGGAACGATGTCTTCTGAAAGAGAGCCACATAATTACATTCACATTTTTAGAAGTTCTAAGAGCGTTTTGAGAGGCCTGTTTGTGATTTAGTTAAGTTTAACATTTACTTAATTTTTTGGAAAGGATGTGAAAAAAGTCTAAAATTTTCTGGTTTTTTGAGCTTTCTAGTTAGTTAAGTACCAGATAGATCGGCTTTTACTATACATTTAAATCTTAACAGTACTTTTTTGTAACACCAATTTCATACATTAAAAAAAAATAATAATAAATCAGACTTTAACTGAAGACTTTCTTAATTTTAGTTGGTCAATTAAAATATGGAATAATATTAATAATTTACCACATTTGATACAATCCTTAGTATCTACTTAATGATAAAAAAGGAACACTGTTGAAGAGGAAAATTATAAAATTAAAACTACAGAAAAATTTACCTCCGAATTTCAGCTATAAGTAAGGCTGTAGATGGTATACCAAGGCCCATTAGAGCAAATGCATTTAATACTGGATGAAGACAGGCAAGACAAGTGGCTCCACAACATAAAACAAGCATCCAAATTTGAAATGTTTTTCTAGATTAAAAAATGCATTTAAAATATTGGTAACTAAATAAAACAAAAATAATTATCAATTGTGAATAAATGAATAAAAAATATTTTTAGACACATAAAAATTACTCCTATTAGTATTGGTTTGCAAATGTGAAGTTAAAGAATTTTTATTTATACACATAGACTAGTACAGTTATAACTCTAACTCTTGTGATTCAGTACCTGGAGTTCAATATAGTTCCATACAAGGGGGGAGGACTTAGGTTTTGTAAGTTTTCAAGTGCAATTGCATCAAACATCCCGAATTCTGCTTCCATGCATTTGTATGTGTGACTCAGATATGCAATTAAATATGGTTTATTGTAGAACCTTTCATACATTCTCAGTTACAGCAAATCTAGCATACTTTGAGCCCTTACCCTCAATTAATGATAATAAATATGCTATTAAGCAGTCTCAGTTATCAGTGGTATGATTTAATTTACTAAAATAAAGGCCCTAAGAACATAAAAATGCTTGAGAAGTATTACTGTTCTTATTTTTAAAAAATAATGATTCTAATGATTATTCCTTTGAAACTGTATGTATGGCATGATGTGTGGTAAAAAAGTCTGTATTAATTCATTTAACATTCATTTATCATTATGAATCAAGTTAAAATGTCATGGAATCCTTTATTTTCATGTCTACAAAAGATTAAATATTCTAGTTTACAACATATTTTTACATTAATATGTTTTATAGTATAGCAAATAATGTATCCTAATATACAAAATATTTTATTATTGTTTTATTTAATGTTGTAATGATTTACTTACATAACTTATTAAATAAACTTATGCATAATTATAGATATTTATGAATATTCTGCTAAATAAGGTGTCTGCTATTATACATAGTTTCAATATAATCCATGGTAAGTCCATGGATATATGAAACATGGATACAGTTTCATATATCCATGTATTACCCATGGATATAAGGGTTCTATTGAACTTCAAATATTTACTTCTAAATTAGAACTGCAAATATCTAACAAAAACAGAAAATTATTTTAAAATTTTATAATACTCATAGATCATAATCTGACATACTTCAACATAATAATAAAACATTCCTCAAAAAATATAAATATTATACAACTACATTAACATTATTACATGCCTACATTAATACCAAATATAAGTCAAGATATGAAAAAGGACACATTATTTTAATAAAGGTTAGAATTATTTAAAATTTAAGGAAATCTATACTTTAAAATTGGGCAAAATTCAACAATGGTTTAATGTTAGTTCCATTAAAAAAATAATAAATAAATAAATTTTCAAAATTCATGACACATATGTTTAGTAAAAATATTCTGCTTCCCTTCAATAAAAATACTTTTAACAGAATGATGCAAATAACTTTGCTCTTTGAAGAAAATGGATGTATGTTAATTTACCATGAAATATTTAGAATAAAATTTCTAATTTAAAAGAACCAAGGAGTTTCACAATATCTAATAGAATTTAACTTACTGGGTATTTAGGTATGAATGCAACCTCCATTTAGAAGTTGCCAAATTTTCAAAACAACCTAATTCTGACAATCAAGCAAGCAACAACTTTTCAGTCTCAGCCAGCAATACCTCCATTTTCGCATGCTTTCTTTCATTTGTATTCAAATGCTTTAGAAAAATCATAACCTTTTTGCTTTAAACTAAGTCTTAAAATAGGCACTTTTGGGAATTGTCAAGAAGCAAGAAATTGCTGCAGAATTGCTACAAAAAAGCAGTATTTTCCTGAAAAATCGCTTAAAGGGAACAATTGTGTCGTATTCATTCTTAAAGTACACATGATAAATTTCTACCGAAACAAAAAATAAATAAGTTTTTAAAACATAAACCTTGCTATTAAGTAAGTTTACTGATTGATTTTGGGGATAAATACCTAATTAAAACATAAAATAGAGGTACAGTTCTGTTATCGAGACCAGGTCAAAAAATGTATGTATGTATGCATGCATGCATGTATGGATGGATGGATGGATGGATGGATGTGTTTATGTATGCATGTGTTTAAGGTTTAAATTAACACATATAAACACATAGATACATATACATGTGCATATATATATATATTTCTGAATTATATCCTGATAACAGAAGAGCACCAAATAGACATGTATGTAACAAATAATTTTTTGTAAATATAGTCACCATTCTACTTTTTTTTTTTTTTTTTTTTTTTTTTGTGTGTGGTGTGTGTATGTGAAAAATTCCCAATTTGCACTAAGATGGTTACCTTAAAATGCATATTATTTCAATCCATTTACAAAGTGGATTTATGAAGTGAGAGCCCCATCTCACCCAAGTTTGGTCATCCCTTAGCCTTAAAGCACAGTTAATACATCTTTCAATAGGCTGTTCAGAAAAGACATACAAATGAAAAAGTTGTATTATCTACATTTTAATTTAGGGTAATATGCATACAAACAATTCTCCACAGTTTTATAACTGTGCTTTACACAATTTTTTCATTCTACATTTAGTTTGTTAAATATTATTCACATTTCAGAGTAAGTTAATTCACATTTCGGAGTAAGTCGTTATTTTTTTAATCTGCAAATATTAAACAGCATAAACAATTTTATGTAAATAAATAAATAAATAATATTTTATTTTCTTAATGCTTTAAATTTTTCTTCTTAATGGCTTATTGCCTCAATAAAACCTTAATGATTTTCATGAGGCACTCTGCAGATGTTATCTGCAATTATACTCCTTTCTCCCCTTTCTATTCACTATATACCAGACTCACTTTTGAAACAGCTTGTTTTCTGTGACATACATATGAGTAAAGGTGTTGTATTCATCACTAATTGGTCACAGTAAAATAGGGAACCAATTTTGGCCACGATACTAAACATCTTTAGAGGCTAGGTGTTGCTTAACAAGTAAATCATAGGTTCGAAAATCTGAGCCGACACTTTTAAAAACACCAACATTTATTTTACACGCCATTTCTTATTCTACAAAATCTTAAATGCAACTAACTATCAAACAGAAAAGCAGACATAGACGTAATGATGCATCTGGGCACGTGATCCTCATGACAGACGAATTCTTTAGGGTTGCCACAGAAAAGCAGTGTGTCACCACAATTCTCCCACCTTTTGAGTGGATGGCTACACACTCAAAACATAAAACTTATATCAATATAAATGAGGGTTACGCAACAAAGAAAATTATTTAATACTTAAATCATATTACTTGAAAACAAAATTAATACTGAGGAATAATACAACAATAATAGCACAACAAAATAATAATAACTCAAAGACATGAATTACATTATTCGTGATCTTACAACTCTGCCACTACTGGTGGTGAAAGGAACTTGATTATTTTGAGTATTATCTATTATATTATCCAATTTCAATCTAAACAATCTCTGTATTGGTCTCAAGAACTCTGAATTATTACTTTTTACAAGAGCAACTCTTATGTTGCCATCTCGACCAGGGATCACTCGAATAACGCGTGCTAAATTCCAATATGTACGGTTTTTATTTTGATCCTCCAGCAACACAATTTCTCCTACAGAGAGAGGTTTATTTTTGTAATTTCTGGTAGACTGCTGTCTTAACTGCCCTAGATACTCAGAGCAAAATCTCACTCTTAACAATTCTCTCATTCTCTGAAGATACTTCGCTCTTCTACTCAATTTTTCTTTGTCCACATTGTCAATATCAGGTACACTCGACTGTGGAGTTTCATGCAGAAATTTTTCTGCAGTTAAAGGCAAGGGATCTTCAATATCGTCAGACACGTACGTAAGTGGTCTTGAGTTGACAATTCTTTCACAATCACACAAAACGGTGAGTAACTCTTCATAACCAAGAGAAGCACGACCTAAAATGTTTCTTAATATTTGTTTTAAAAATTTGTATTAAACTCTCCCACCATCCACCCCACCAAGCGGCAGATGGAGGATTAAATTTCCATTGTATTCTCTTTTCAGCAGCCATAGAGCAGAGGCTGTTCCAGTCAATGGTTTGCAGAATTCTCTCTGCACCCACAAAATTTGTCCCATTATCGGAATATATGGTGGTAGGGCGTCCACGACGTGCGATAAAACGCCTTAAAGCTTGAAAAAATGATTCAGTTGTTAATGAGGTAACCAATTCCATATGGATAGCACGATAAACCACACACGTGAAGAGCACAATATATGATTTTCGTCCATCCTTTAAATGCAAGGGTCCTGCAAGATCACATCCTACGATTTCAAAAATGGCTGAATCACGAACCCTATCATTTGGTAAAACGCCTGGGACTGTCTCTATCTTTTAGCCTTAAATCTCTGACATGTTACACATTTTCTTATACAGTTCCTTATAGTTTTAAGTGATTTTAAGATCCAGTATCTTTCTCTTAAATGCGACATCAATAATGTAGTACCTGCATGCAACAAATCTTTGTGTGCACTTAATATCAATAATTTGACTACTGGATGTTCAGAAGGTAATATAATGGGAAACTTAAAGCTGCTAGAGTCGTCATGATAAGCAACATTAGACTTAGCTCTTATTAGACCCTGACTATCGACAAATGGTCTGAGTCGTCTTAGCTTACCATCTGTTTCACCATTAAACGACTCTTTTTGTATTAATAACATTAAAGCTATTTCTCCCCTTTCTATTTCAGATACAGTCAAATCCTTAGAATGGTTGTTATTATTATTCTTACATACATTATTATAAAATCTGAATATCCGTGATAACATTCTTACAATTTTCTTAAATGATGAGAAATACTTATAGTACCATCCAATACAATTATCACTCTTTGCCAACGTAACAAACAACGTAAACTGTCTTACGTATTTCTGAATTAACTAAATCCTCATCTGGTTCATCATTAGATTTAGGCCAATTTGCCTCATCCTCCCGTAACCAATCAGGTCCCTCCCACCATTTTCGTTCTATTAATTGATCAGCATAACAACCTCTAGAAAGTAGGTCAGCATGATTGA